AATCTATTTATGAGTCCTTTTATTTTGGGAAACACTAAAATGGTTGGAAAAGAATTTATGAAAGTGAAATTAAGTTATATCGAACTTGTCGGCAAGTCTTTAAAAGTCATTCAATCATCATGTATTGTCAAAGGAAAAGGAAAAGATACTAATTTTTTTTACCTTAGTGATAGATAATTCCCCATTATTCACTTGCCTATATCTGCTATAAAAGAAATTCAATTTGTTTTAAAAAAAAATTAACAAAGAAATAAGAAAATGATTCAAATTTTTCATTGAAGTATGCGATTTGTCTTATAATTGTCGTGTTTACATTTTGGTCCATGAAGCCACTGTTAATTTTGTCTCATATTTGCCTCATCCTCTACAATATTTGAAGCACATTTAAACAATTAAAAAGATCCAAATATGGTCCTGAACAACTTTTTTACTATTAAAATCATTAGTGAAAGGGGCATATTTGTGACGAAAGATAACGATGAAAACTTTCGAGGACCGAAAAGTAAATAAAGAATAAAATCAAGAAAAGTCGTAGACGTTAGAGATATATTTGGATTTTTTCAAATAAATAAATAAAGAACGAATTTTAAGTTTGATTTGAGTAGTTCTTCTGTTGTGACATAAAGTTTATCATTGAAGAGTGAAGAGAGGTACCACCAAAGGCTACAATGCAGTGATGTGACTATTCTTTTCTTAATTAGAAGTTTTAGGTTCGAGTTTTGAATATAAATTTTTTTTAGTAAGGAGCGCTTTCTTCAAATAAAATTTTACGCAATACAAATTCAAATATAATCGGTAGGGGTGTATATAGGCCGGGTTGGTTCGGATTTTATAATTACCAAATCAAACCAATTGTGTCGGGTTATTAAATCTAAAGACCAAACCAAACCAATAAAACTCGGGTTTTTAGATATCGGTTTTTCTCGGGTTTTCGGGTTATTCGGGTTTTCTCGGATTTTTTCCCGGTAAAATCTTCGTAGAACAAAATATATAACATATGCTCAAAATATTTCTTTAATCCTAGTAAGATACAATTATATAAAGTATTTTCCAAGAAAATAATACAAAATATGAAATGTGTCATGGCATTATCCTAAAATATTCAACAATAAAGACAATAAAATTATGTAATATACATATTGTTAATTAAAAAGTCATAATAAAAATAAACGTAATTTAAAAACATTAAGTCATGCTAAAATAATTAGACTAATAAGGGAGTATTAATTACATGACTAAAAGCTAAAGCAAAATAAAAATAGGTTATGCATTTTTATCTAAATTATTGCAAAACAAAAATAGATATTCAATGCATCCCTGTCCGTAATATCGAATTGAATGTCTTTTGTTAGCATTAGTATTGATTGTTAGCATTATTTAATTTACTAATATTAATGGCTATAAAACTTATTGGAGCATTCAAAAGTTTTAAGTCCGACCTTGAAATAATACCTTAAAAGATAAAATTATGAAATTTTTAAGAAATATTTATAAATTACATTACAATAACTATATTTATATATTAAATATATCTAATGTCGGGTTGGTTTGGTTTCGGTTTGACTTTCTTTAGTTAAAACCAAACCAAACCAATTATGGTCGGGTTTTTTTTCCAACACCAAACCAAGTCAAACCAAACCATAGTCGGATTTTTTTTCTCGGTTTGACTCGGATTATCGGGTTGGTGCGGTTTGTCGGTTTACTTTGTACACCCCTAATAATCGGACTTCAGTATTGGACACCAGACGAAAAAAAAGTGAAGAGAGGTTAATAGAAAGTGTGATTAGGGAGGTTTGATGCACTCTCACATGGGATACCAATAACCTACTCAATTGCATGCTATTGGTAGCTTTTTTCCATGTCAAAAAATGAGTGTCCCACAATGTCTGTTGTTACCATTTTAATTATTTACTTTGACTCTATAAAAGGGCATCTTATGAGAACGAAATGATCGTTAAATAATTTTCTATTTTTACAACTTGTTTGAGTTTTTATTAGTCATCGAAAATTGTTGACATGTAAATTATTAACTCGAAAACTGTAAATAATTGGTGTCTAAATCGCACCTACAACTCATAGTAGGTGATATTTGTCCCCATGTTACTATCTAACGGATGAGCAACGCTATATTTTATTCGAACCCAAAGCTAAGGGTACACGAAGAAAACAGATCATATTCAAATCGGGGGAAAAAAATTGATTGTGGTTTGATTTGATTTGGTATTAGAAAAAAAAATTCAGACTATAATTAGTTTAGTTTGGTTTTAAATAAAAAAAAGTCAAATCAAAACTAAACCAAAATTTTATAATATTTAAAAATATTTTTATGCATAAAAATATTTATTGTAATATAATTTATAAATATTTCTTAAACATTTTCATAATTTTATCTTTTAACGTATTATTTCAAACTTTGACTTAAAAACTTTAAGTGGCCCAAATAAATTTCATAGCCTATAAATATAGCTACTCAAAGAAAAATTTAAATCAATATTAATGCTAAAAAAATTAATTCATTAGTAGGAATGAGAATATTGTTGGATATCTATTTTTTAATTTTGCATTAGTTTACAGTGAAAGTGCATAACTTAGTTTATTTTTTATTTTAGTATTAATCATGTAATTAATAATACTTATTTATTTTACCTATTTTTGCACGACAAAGTACTTTTTGGTTATGTTCATTTTCATTATGGTATAGTAATTCGCAATATTTGTTTAATTCAATTTTATTATCTTTATTATTGAATATTTTAGTACAATATTACTCATCTCATATTATTTGGTGTTATGTTTTGAAAAATATATTATATAGTTATATTTTATTAGGATTAAAGAAATATTTGTAGCAAAAATTATATATTTTGTGCTATGAAGACTTTATTTGGAACCCCTAAAAAAATCGAAAAAGTTTGAGAAAAATTAAAATCGAAAAATTCAATTTTATTGATTTGGTTTATACATATAAAAATCCAATATCACTAATTTAATTTGATAATTGAAAATCGAACCAACCTACTTATGTATACACTAATCAAAACTATTCTCTAACTATGTCCATATTTCGCGTTCAAATCACCAAAGGGACCTATCTAGGAAAAGAGGACCTTCCTTAACTAGCTTTTCAATCTTTGTCCCCTATGAGGCATTGAGCTTTTCTCGAGATAGTCAATTACATTAAACGAGTAGATAATAATTACATCACCTTTTCCCTACTTATCTTTCCAATAATGGTAAAGTAACTCTACAAATGTAAAGTTCACATTACTTAGCTTATTATTGCTACTACTAGTTAAGATGTACACATCAAACATCATTAGATTTAATTTAGATGATTTCTTATCATACATTAGTCTAAGGGTGAGCATAAAATTCGAAAAATCAAAAAATCAAACTGAATCGAACAGACCGAATTAATTTGGTATTTCGGTATCGATTGATTCTTCGATTCTTCGGTATTAATTCGGTATAAATATTTCACAAAGACTTGGTACGATATCGAAGCCGTACCAACAATAACAACATATTCAGTATAATCTTACATGTAGGATCTGAGGAGGGTAATGTGTACGCATACTGTAATATGTATGCAGACCTTACCCCTACCCGAAGAGATAGTGAGAGGTTATTTTCTGTAGATCCTTAGCTCAAGAAAGTATAAAAAAGAAGAGAAGGAAGAAGAATAAGAAGAAGAAATAAGGGAAAGAAAGAAACATGACGGAGACAAAGGACGATAAGGCAAAGGGGGAAAAATAGTAGCCTTAAATAGTATCAATCAGGAGTAGCAATTCTAGTAAAAGTAGAGAAAAATGGTAGCATCAAATAGTAACAACCAGGGAGCAACAATTTTCAGTAGCAATTTACAAAAATAATGAACTTGGCTGCTAAGTACCAGTTATAAAAACAAAAGAAGAAAGTATCTTTCAACTGGTAACAAGAATACTACTAGTACTACTGGTAATCCTAGAAGAAGTTCACAACTACCAGTTAATCCACCACCGTAATCGTCGACCTCCAAACCTTTCTATCGTTAGTCATGTCTCCGATACCGAAACAAAGAAAATACTGAACCATATCGAACTATTTTGGTACGGTATTTAATATTCATAATTGATAAATCGAATATTAAAATACTATATCGAAATTTTTAAATACCGTACCGAAGTACCAAATGCCCACCCCGTCCCCACTACATTATTGAACGACTGAACCAATTTAACCTTTTTCCCTTCTAGATGGTACTTTTTGCATCCTTATTATTTTCGACCGGCCCCACCTCGATAAAAATGAACTAAAAATAAATAAATAAAGCTTAGGTGGTCTTAATAAGTAAAATGCAAAATAATTAGTTCACTTTTGAATAAAGTTACCACTAATAGTTGAAGAAAAAAAATTGTAAGTACATAGTATGGCAGAGATGCCGTCAAATATTGTGATGCTCTCTAAGAAAAACTATGCACGTTTGACACAAAATGGATATCATTGATCTTATAACATCGCAATAAGCTTGTGATATTGTTCATTTTGGGTAGGCTCGCGTGACTTTAACGTATATCATTATAGTCTAAGGCTTATTTAATTATATACCCAATATCTATTTTGTACTTTGTCGATATGAGATTTACTTGGAGTGTCACATACATTCAGGTTTGCCCCACTGTCATTCAAGGGTACATGAGGAGTGATTCTAATACCATACGTAACAATCGAACTCACTAGTGATATTGTCCGTTTTTGGTATAGGCTTGCACCGATTTAAAACACGTTACTAGGATCTAAAGTTTGTTTACTTATATATTCATTATCTCTCCAGTATTTAATTTACGAAAAATGTCCAAATACCATCCTGAACTTTTTGAAAAGATCTACAAATAACCTCTGTTAAAAGTTTGGCCCATCACCCACCTTGTCATTATACTATTGGGCTGGATAACTCCTTTGTTTTAAATGGTTGCCACAGTGGATTAGTCATCCACTCAAAATATGGCATTTGAAAATTAATATAAACATAATATTTTATTTTAATGCCCAACCTTATCTATTATCCGACCCGAAATAAAATAACCCTTCTCTTAATACCCTCCCGAATTTGACTTCACTTGAGAATTAAGGATAGCTATTCTTCTCAATCAGCTTTTCTTCTCAATCTCAACAAGGAACTCACAGAGTTGCTGCTATTTCCGGCGCAAATCTGGACGACCAAGTTATGGTTAGTGTTCCCACCATCTTTCACCATTCAATTTCCAAAATATGAGCCAGGGATCTTCGAGCTCATCAATGGTTCGAGGAGGAAATGTTGTTGTGGAGTTGCTGCTAGCCAATTTACTGCTTAGACTCCAAATAATGCCGGTAGACGATTTAACAAGTGTTCAATACCTAAGGTAAATCTTGTAAGAATTTTTTGTGTATTTTTGCTTAGGTAAATAATGCGGCAGACAAAAATTATCAATAATTTTATTCTAATTGTCGCACAGGGACAGAAATGTAAGTTCTGGGAATGGGTAGATGATGAACTTCATCTTAGTGTTATAGCACTGATCAGTAACTTAAAGAATGAAAATGGAGCTCTTAGACGTGAATGGAATCTCCTGCTGATGATGGTTGTCGAGATTGAAAGCGTCTTAGTAGGGGATGTTGCAAAAATTAAAGATTTCAAGGAATTAGTTGATGTTAAAGGAGACAAAGTTGTTTCTAAGGAAAAAATGGATGGAGGTTTAGTGTTTGCGAAGGAAAGTAGTCCGAAAAAATGAAATATCATTAGTATGGTATGGTGTTGCTTCATTGGGTTCATGTGTGCTTGGATGATGAAATATCTACCTTAAGATCAACCAAAGTTTAGGTGTATATGATATATTTAAGTGATTATGTAACATATGTTCAAACAAGGTTTATGTATAATTGACATGGTTAAGATTTAATTTATATTTTTAGTGTTTGTGCTTTTGGACACCATGTATATTTGCAATCTATATTTCTTAAGTGTATATTTGCAATCTATAGTACTTTGTATAGATTTTCCTTATGTGCTTTTGGACAACATGTATATACTGTTGTATCAGTCCAACGCTGCTGATATAACACTATAAACAGTTCACTGTTTATAAGATGAAGCATATTACAGCAGTTGTTGCAGCATAAAATGGAGGAGGCAAGAGAAGCATATTGCAACAATTAAACAGTGAACCCATTACAGCAGTTGTTGTTGCTTATATTGCAGCAGTTGGTCTCAAACAACTTAGGCAACACAACTTAACCAAAAAATTGATCTCAAATATAAGTAGACATAATTAGACAGATTTACAGAAAATAGATTTGCATAATTGATCACAACTTAGATATAATAGATCTCAAACATAAGTAGACATAACTAGACAGATTTGTAGAAAACAGATTTGCATATTTGATCATAACTTAGACATAATAGATCTCAAACATAAGTAGACAGATTTGCAAAAAATAGAACAGGGTACATATGCCTCCACAACTTTGTACATAGCCAAAAAAAGTTTCATCAATACCATGCTTAACCATCAGAAGCTTAACCAACCACAAAAAAATTGTTAACTACTGTTTGTTAACTAATAAACATAATTGCTTAATAACCAATCACAACAACAAAATATAGCAATTGTCTTTAAATAAGATCTTCATCATCAAGTGCAACTTCTTTTGCTCTTTGTTGCCATCATCTTGATATTTCTCTTTCTTGCCTCAAGTTGGACTTGGCTTGATGAGATTGCTGCCTTTCTCTTCCATGTCAGCTTAGTTGGAGAATAAGGAATATTGGTATGTGTTGAAGATCCAACAAACTTAATTTTTCTTGGCCCCGTTGTAGATCCTCTTAGATTTCCACTCTCAATTCTTGATTGTGTTTCTGAAATAATCATTGGCCTAAATGGAGGATCTTTTTTATTGTCAACTTTCAGACCATATGGCGTAAACTCTTGGGTGGAAACAACTGGTCCAACATGAGTTTGTGATTCTTGGTCATTGTCCATTGCATGAGACTCTTGAGTTTGATTGCAGCTTGCACTAGTTCTTGCACTAGATTGAGAACTGTTTCCAGCAGCCTTAGGCTATTAACAAGTAAAAAAAATGAAGTCAATGTAAGTAATACTGTTATAGGTTCAAACAATATGAAATTTTTTTTACCTTGTAACAACCCCTTGCATTGTGATTTGGCTCACCACAATTACTATATGTCATATGTGTCCCCTTCCTTGATTGATTCCACTGCCCTATCCTTTTTCTTGCCTCATTTGGTTCCCTATCTCTTTTCACTTTGGGTCTACCAACTTGCTTCACAATATCAGGAGGTAACATGGCTTGTGAAGGTTCAACTTTCCAGAATTTGCCGACCCCTAACAGGATGAAGTTTTTCCTTATATGTTAGCAAGTATGCTTTTTTACTATATTACCGATATAATTTTACCATCGGGCTCTACTCTCTTATGCATCATTGCCTTTATTGCATGAGGGCAAGGAATGTCAGATAAATCCCATAACCTACATGTACACTTTCTCTGTTGTAGATTAACAGTGTGTATAAATTCTTTCAGATTTGGATCTACTCACATTCAACTTCAAATCATGTTCAAGCTCACCTCTCATATCTTTAATCATGTATTCAGGGTTATTTTGGACCTTACTCTTAAAATACTGAGAGTTAATATGGCATAATCAGCTCTAGGGTTCTTAAGGCATCCTCACATGTGTGTATATCCTTCCAAGTTTTAATCTTGACCCCACCAGTTTTCCCATCTTCAGAAAATTGGACACCTAAAGGTATACCCTTCTTGACAACCATACATGATTTTTTTTCACATTTAATCAACTCCAAAGCCTTTTTGTTAGCTAAAGCATAGAAATTTACAGCCTGAGTGTAGCTCAGTACCTTACCCATCGTGTAATGACAGTGTGCCTTTACCCAATGATCTTAGTGCTCCGATTGTGCCTTCTGCTTGCATCATTCATGTCGTTAAATGATATACCTAGCTTCAACTCCTTATATTTTTCCAACATATCATTTACAACCCTCCTCCTTTCATTTCTAATACCCTTCATTTCATCAGAATTATAATCCCTACCATCTGAAGGTTCACATTCACTATCAGAACCAAGACTATGTTCACAGTCAGTACCAACCTCAACATTTACATGATACATTTCTGTATGATCTATAATACGTGGAGCAGAAATAGTGGACTTACTCTCGTCAACAGGAAAGAAATTTAAGACCTTAAATTTGTTACATAATAAGCAAAGAAGAGCCATGGTACTCTTATCACCTTCTACCAAATAATACTTACCCGAAGACCCTACCACTGACAATTGTTTAACTTTGACAAACTCTAATCTAGAGGTAAACTCATCACATATATCCTTATAACTCAATAAAGCAGAATCAAATGATGTCCATAAGTGCAAAAGTTCCTCACAGTATACTAGTCAGGTGAAAATACCCACATACCCCCATAGTTGAACATAATATCAACCTTTGAAATCATAATTCGAAAGCTACAAAAAAAAAAATAATAAAAATAAAGATGGGACCACATCAGAAAAGATACTTATAAAGATAAAGCATGGAATAAGAAAACCCCAAAAGACAAATCTTTGATCGGAACAACCAAATACCCACCAAATCTCCAACGAAAACTACGAAAATAAACAAAATCCAGTAATAAACAAACATATACTTATAAAGATAGAACATGGAATAAAAAACGCTAAAAGATAAATCTGATATCGGGACAACCAAAGACCCACCAAATTCCCTATAAAAACACAAGAATACACAATATCCAGCAATAAACAAACATATATAATACTTTTAAACAGACAAACATTAACTACACCAAATCACATGTTAAAACAATTTTAATCCTAAAACCCTAACCCAACAACAAAGTATAATAAAAAAAGAAGCTAAAGTAACTTACCTTGACAAGAAGAGTCAAAAATATGTTGTAAATTTCAGCAGAACCCTCCTTCGGTTGACATTCCTTGACATATGCAGAAACCCTAGTATTTAGGCGGACTAGACGATAACAATGGAGGCGTGGAGTTTGGTAAATATTTTTACCCAAGCGAACAAAACGAAGTGTATTAAGAGAAGGGTTATTTTATTTCGGGTCGGATAACAAGTATGGTTAATGGGTAGGGTTTGACATTAAAATAAAATGTTATGTGTATATTAATTTCCAAATGTCATATTTTGAGTGGATAACTAATCCACTATGACATCCGTTTAAAATAAAGGGGTTATCCAGCCCAATAATATAACAACAAGATGGGTGATGGGCCAAACTTCTAACGGAGATTATTTGTAGACTTTTTCGAAAAGTACAAGGGGTATTTGGACCTTTTCCGTTTAATTTATGTAGAATTCGTCTAGGTGTCAGAGACCTCATTTCAGAAATTCTAATAGTTTAAATCATACAAGTCTTTATTGGGAGAAATTCAAAAATAGCCAAATTTACAAGCGGTCATTCAAAAATAGCCATAATTTTTAAAGTAATTGAAATTTAGCCACTTTTGATATAAAGATAAATCTGAACGAAAACACTGTTCAAAATTTGAAAAATACTCCAGCATAATATACTGGAGTTTAGTATATTAGACTGATATTATACTCGATACTGAAAGTTTCAATATAATATACCGGTCCGGCATAATATACTAGAGTTTGGAACACTAATGCTCCAGTCTCAGTATATTATACTAGAGCCAGCAAAGTATACCGGTCCAGCATAATATGCTGGAAGTTCATACACAGGTGCACTGAACTCCAGTATATTATACTAGACCGGTCTCTGTTGCAGTAAAATAGTGGCCATTTTTAATGACTTGGCGAACGCTGGCTATTTTTGAATGATCAGTCCGAAAACTGGCTAGACTGTGCTATTTTAACGTCTTTATTTGGTAAAAATTGCACGGGGCACCTTATTTGGTCGCCCCATTTAACCTATACCCATTTTTAAAAAAAGTTTTAACTTGTACCGACTTTTTGAATAATTTCAACCCCTTTCTACTCCTTTTTCTTTTTCTTCTTCTTCTTCTTCTTCTTCCTTCTTCTGCTACTATTGGTGCTGCTATGAAACTTCAGTTCATGGGATGATTGCCATAAGTATGTTTATCAGATTATTTAAAAATAAATTATAAATAATTACGTAAGTTAGTAGACAATAATTTGTGAATATTTTCACGTAATTCTATTCTTTTCACGTTTATTGTTTTCAAAATTTATGATTTTGATACTGTTGGAAATCTAATTATTTTATAGTAGTAATACACTATGAAAGAATAAGGTGATTATTTATTTAGCATGTTAGAAAATATTTTTATAAACTTCAGCTTATATAGTGCTGAAGTTTTTACAAATAAACTAAATAACTTCAGCATCTTCTGCTAAAGTTTTTGAAAAAGCTTTTATGACAAAAGAATTTCAACTTATATAGTGCTGAAGTTTTTACAAATGAACTAAATAACTTTAGCATCTTCTGCTGAAGTTTTTGTAAAAGCTTATCTAGAACAAAAAAAACTTCAGCTTATTTAGTGCTGAAGTTTTTATAAATGAACTAAATAACTTTAGCATCTTCTGCTGAAATTTTTGAAAAAGTTTTATGACAAACTAATAAATCTAGGACAAAAAAACTTCAGCTATTTTAGTGCTGAAGTTTTTACAAATGAATTAAATAACTTCAGCATCTTATCCAGGACAAAAAAACTTTAGCGTATTGCCTTTGCTACTTCAGGCCCGTCTATTAGAATGCTGAAGTTTTGTGTGATTGTCTTTGCTACTTCAACCATGTATGCTGAAGTTACGCGAAAAAGTAAGTATACTTGCAATTTCTTTTGCAAAACGAACACAAATTAAAATGTGACCCAAAAAGCGGGTACAGATGCAAATTTAAGGCCCAACATGTTTTACAAATATGGGCTTTA